CCCCCCCCCCCCCCCCCAAAAAAAAAAAAAAAACAAAAAAAAATAAAAAGCAAGTTGTAAACCACGTTTGAGGCACATGACATTCTAGACTGATCTAACACAGCTTGATGTACCAGGATGCCAACAGGACAGGAGAAGTTTGTTGTCATCGGAGACCTCGAAGGTTGGGGATATTCTAACAGTGATATTCGTGCATACCTTGGAGCTCTAACCATTTTGCAGGTATAGTCTTCAAAACCAGCATCTTTCATTAACTTAAATATACTTGTCAATCTCTTTGTTGACTCAAAATTTCTTTTTGTTTTGGACGAAATAAATGAAACGTTTCAGTTTCTGTGTAAACCCAATAGAATCTGTGATTAAAAACTATACATGTTTTGAAACACGACAAAATGTTTAAAAATCAAAGTTCTAAATTTTCCCCATGTTTTCATTCTCTTTACATTATATTTTCGTTTTTTATCTGCCCAAAATCATATAGAGAAATAAAATTTTGATTCTTACTTTATTGCAAATCTTCGATTAATGGACACGCGTCCACACCTTGGGTTAAAATCCTATGATGGGAGCCTCTCTCACTGGGACATAGGGAACCCATTTGCTATTGCATAGAAGTTGTAGTACTATGATATGTTGAAATTTGAAAAACTTCTGAATTAATTGCTTGCTGTTAATGACAGGATTACTACCCCGAGAGACTAGGGAAATTGCTTATCGTCCATGTGCCTTACATATTTATGACAGTATGGAAAATTGTCTACCCTTTTATCGACAACAATACTAAGAAAAAGGTGAGATTTTGATTTCTCTCTTCCTAAAGATTGAGATTTAGATTCTCTCGATCACACTTTTCCTCAATTTCATTCAATGGTAGATCATCCATCGTGTATGGATGAAGTGCCCACTAATAAATAGTGGGTCCGTATTAATGGTAAATGATCTACTATTGTGTGAAAGTGTAATAGAGAAGATCGAATCCGAAAAATTGCTGCATTTAAATGTTACCATGTTACCTTATCATGGCTATGTGCACTGTTGAAGAATGATATAACTCCCATACCTTCTCAACATGTGCTGCCAATGCTTCACAAAGTCCAACACTTAATAAATAGGTCAACACAGACTTGGTCATACACAAAACTAACATTACGTTACACAATATGACATTATACGGTTATAAATACATTGATTGTGAATTGAACATATTTTGATATGGAAAAACTTAGACACGACTTGACATGAACCATAACCAACCCTAATCACAACCATGTGCAATTTTAGCTGCAAACAAGAATAGGACTATCATACTTGCAGGAGAAAAAAAGAAGAGGATTATATTTAACTAAATTTATGTATTTTTCTGCTAATACAGATTGTGTTTGTGGAAAATAAACGACTTAAATCAACTCTGCTCCAAGACATCGACGAGAGCCAGCTTCCAGAGATTTATGGAGGCAAAATGGCATTGGTTCCCATCCAAGACAGCTAACTGGCGAACTTGCCTTTTAAAGTGCTATTCTTCTTTATTTGCCAGTGTCTTGAGGATCAGATTAACTCTGACTTAATCCTGAAATGGCAGGAGCTTCGTGGGTTACAGTTTTCTTTTTTCACCCTTTATAGGCATGATTTCTTTCAACAGTGATGTATTACATAAAGAGTATAAACTTATCTACCAGAGGTGCAATGATTCACTCAATGGGCAAGGTCTCTGATATAAGTCCAGGATGGCCTAGCTGTGGGAGACATGCTGCCTATTTTACTTGATAGTGTGAAATTATGGATAAATTTACAGGTTTGGTGTCTGTAGAATGAATTGGCTCCTGGTATTATATCTTATTAGTAGACGTTGTATAATGGTGGAGGACCCTTTTATATATGTTTAGTCCTACTAGTATTTATAGGGTGATCTCTTATTAAGGGAAGTTGAAAAAAAAAAGGGTGTTGCAGAGATCCAAATCTGAAGTTCTGGTACATTTGGCTCCTCCCCAGTTTTAAGGTCTCTATAAATCCAATAATTTATCGTCTATTAGTAAGAACCCAACTTAAACATAATCGATTCCATCAGAATTCATGATAAGAAGATAATTTTAAAAGGAATGTGGTAAGTAGAATTAGAGAAGAGTGGTACCCCATGGTGAAGTGCAGTGAGAACGGTTTTTGTGCTTGGATATAGAGAAGAAACAAGAGCATGAGCACCACAGCATCAGCTTCTGATACAACTTCTTGGGAAATGAGTAACACTGCATATTTGTCTTCGCCCGTGAGGATCCTCTGTTTGGGTGCTAATGATGTCAATCTACATAGTTACTGCATGCCACAGCTTTCCATCGACCTGGTCAGAGCATGGTCAGGAAGAAGATCAGCTCCTGAAAAGTTGGAGCACATCCAAAAGATGAGCAGTTTTTAGAATAGGAACAAAGACTGTGTCCAGAAAAAGGACCCGAGCACTACAACCCAACGCGATATGAAAGCATTTCCTAGAAGCAAATTCGCGAAGGGTCCAAAATGGTTTCCCATCGAAAGCCAACATTATGGATGTGCAAATTTGCATAGAGGAGTTCACCAAAACAATGGAAGATTCCAAGAAGTGTCACGAATGTTAATTGAAATTTTGCAATCAACGTTTGGATGCATTTCCACCACATTTGAAGGTGAAAAAATTGTAAAATTTGTCAATATGCTTTGCTCAGTCCAAAAGCAATATTCATGAGCAGAAATGGTCGAAGAAATACCTCTACCAAACTTTTGTAATCGCACACTCAGTAGAGGTCAATTTAAAATGTTGAAAGCTGTAGACGAAATCCAAACAAGTTTAGTAACTGGTTATGATGGAATGAAGACCCCCTCAAATCAGCCTTATCTTATTGACAATCAACAACACGTTCTCACCTTAAAAAAATGTCAACTTGAAACCTTCAGGGGGTGTATGGCCCATCTCCTTACAACTACCAGAAATGTAAGACTGGAAACATGATTTAAAGGAGCCACTTTAAGTTCTTCATCTAGCTGACTCCTTCAGGTTACCTAGGGAGTAGGGACCTAACCTCGAGCCATCAACAATGTTAGAAACTCAATGTACTCTTCATCAGGCAGTTGATGAAAGCCATTTCCCCTTGCCACTTGAGAGACGTAGGTGCCCCGCAACCAGTGCCGGAGATGACAACTTAAGGGAGACCAGGGCAATAACATCCTTGCCGTTAGACGTGTTCAGCACAATTGAGGATCAAGAGACAACCTGTTGTTTGTTATGTGCACTTGTTGTGATTACAAGAGGGTAAACATCTCATAGTTGCACTACCTATATCCGATTTTGAAAGTTCTTCAAAGCCCCCAACTGTTGGGAGGTCAGATGTCAATAATAGTCATTCATGCCTCAGGAGTCAGGACTTGTGATTGAGATGCAAAACCTTGGACATTCAGACAGCAAAGGATTATCAGAAAACTCACCACACATGATCTGGCAATAGTAACATACATGTTGTCCTATCATTTTGCATATTAACACACTGACCAATTTCTATAGGCTTGTTGGTCAACCAACCAATTTTACCTTAAAATTTTAACCAGCCCATGATCATTTAGCATAAGCAGATATATAAAGGAAAACTTCTCTCATCCTACATGCAGGAAAGTTCTCAAGGGTAGAGGTTAAAATCTTGGATAAGTAAAAGATTGACAAAAATTTTGTCTACAATATTTCAAGGTACGCTGTGATACCGGTGAGAATTTAGTAATCAAGAAGAAAAGGAACACTATATTCTCTAAAGAGAAAAATGGTGTTTTTGTGTTTGGGGGGGATGCTGAGCAAGCAATAGATATGTATTTGGGAGAACTACATCATGATTTTTTACCAAAAATTCTGTGTCTGTGAAATGAATTCAGCTCAAATTATTTTTTCTTTTTAAAAAACTCTAGTATCATATGCTATTCAAACTAACATGGTTTCTTTTGAAACTCAGCCAAAGGGCAAGCTTAGTGTGCTTGTATGTAATCTGAATTGCAAAATAAAATAAAATGAACAATCAACATTAGTAGATAACGAAGATTTTGTAAGACCAAGAAGATACTTAGAATTACGAGTGGCAATGCATAGTTATGAACACACCTTGTCCATTGATAATTTGTAGTTCCATTTGACTTCGACAATATTGCCATATACATAGACAGACCCTCTGTTATCGAATTCGGTTCAAAAAAACTGTAGCCACTCCATCCTGCTTGTGCATCCACCACAACAATCGCTAATTATCGTCGTCATATTTCTTCCACATTGACTAAGCCTACACTACCACAATATTAAATAATGGCTTCATTCAGTAGTGGTTGGAATGAAGCTGAACATATTTCCATTTTTCAGTTGAAAACGAATCACTGCAATACTTGAAGAAAGTGTATTTGCAAATTCCCATCGGGTTTCAGATGTGTAAAAAAATTCCTTATAATTTGCCAAGAAGTTTTCAAGGGATATGCTGTCTTGAGTCGCAGACACATGTGACAACCCCAATATTGAAACTAAGCTCAATTTTTTCTCTCCAATTGACAAGCAAAAGACTAGATTAGACGCATCTAAATACATGTCCATTATAGACAGAAGAACCTAATGTCCCCCTTAGCATGGTGTTAAATATCACATTCTAATATTCTGACTTCCATGATACCAGATCTCTACCATATAAGCACCCCCTAAAATTGACTACCAATAATCTCCACAAGTACAGAAACTACATTCAAACCGATGAAATCGGACCTGGTCCCTCACAATTATAACCCTGTGAGACAATTTTCATCCAACAGTGGCAGTCGGGGTAAATCTGGAGGTTTTTAGAAACCTGAATTTCAGTTCTAGGGCATGATTTAAGGATGCCATAGGCTAGTGCTAACTTTTCACTGTGATAAATCAAATTTTCCTCCTTTTCCTCCTTGGATGTATCCATCAAAACTAATTCCGTCATAGGGACAAATCCCACCATTTTGGCTCGACAGATCAGTCCTTCCAACAACTTGTATATGCCTTCTGTTTCAGGGTGAGATCGATCACTTGCCTTGAATTTGTGAATGGCACCACGCAATTCAATCCAACTTCTTTCGTCCTTTTTGCGGACTCCTATCTTTTTCATCATATATCTGACTCTCTCAGCACTTTCCCATTTCCTTATAGAACAATAGATATTTGACAACAATACATAATCACCACTACCAAGATGTGATATTTTTGCAATGGCAACTTCTGCCAACTTAGAATTTTTGTGAATTCTACAAGCATTGAGGAATGCCCTCCATATAACAACATCAGGCTTCATTGGAATTTCCTTAATCATTGCATAAGCTTCTTCTAGGAGCCCAGCTCGGCCCAAGAGATCAACCATCGCTCCATAATGCTCAAGTTGTGGCTCAACTGAGAAATGCCTTTTCATGAGATTAAAATACTTGTGACCTTGTTCAACCAGCACACAATGGCTACATGCTGTTAAAATTCCCATAAAGTTATAGAATCAGGTAAAATATTTTCCACCTCCATCATCGAGAATATTGCAATTGCGTCGAAAGCAAGGCCATGAATTGCTAGCCCATTAATCAT